TTGCTTTCAGGGCGATACTTGCCGCAGAAAAAAAGAAGTTTGGAAGTGTTCCATCCTCTTCTTTAAAATTTGGTAGAATTCACCAGTGAAGCCATCTGTCCTAACTTGTCTTTGTTGGGAGGTTTTTGATTACAGACTCTATCTTCTTACTAGTAATTGGTCTGTTCAGATTTCCTATTTCTTCATGATGCAATCTTCGTAGATTGTATGTTTCTACAAATTTATCCATTTTTGCTTGGTTGTCCAATTTGTTGGTTTATAACTATTCATTATCTCTTATGATCCTTTGTATTTCTGTGGTATCAGCTGGAATGTCTCCTGATATTCTTTAACTTGAGTACTCTCCTTTTTTCTTGATAAGTTTAAAGGTTTGTCTATTTTATTTTTTAAAAAATGAGCTCTTAGTTTCACTGATTTTTCTTTTTTTTTAAATTTCACTTATTTCTATTCTGATCTTTGTTATTTTCTTCTTTCTAGTAACTTTGGGCTTTTCTTTTTCTTGTTCCTTGAGGTGAAAAGCCAGGTTCAGTTCCTTCTTTTTTCTATTAATGCAGGCATTTATTGCTATGAACTTCTCTCTCAGAATTGCTTTTGCCACATCCCATTAAGTTTTAGGTACGTTGTATTTTCATTTTCATTTGTCAAGATATTTTTTGCTCTTTTATTTATTTTTCTGACCCACTGGTTGTTCAGTAATATTTAACCCCCACATATTTGTGAATTTTCAGCTTTACTCTTTTAATTTCTAGTTTCAGATCACTGTGGTTGAAAAGATGCTGAATGGGATTTCAACCTTAATTATGAAAAACTGTTTTGTGGCCTAACATGATCCTGGAGAATCTTACATGTATGCTTGAGAAGAATGTATATTCTGCTGCTTTTGGATAGAATGTCTGTAAACATCTGCTAAATCCACCTGCTCTAATGTGTACTTTAAGTCCAATGTGTTCTTATTTATTTACTATCTGGATAACCTTTCTGTTGTTGAAAATTCTTTGAATATAATTAGTTTTTTATTAGTTTGTTATTCTGGAAATCTATTTGTAATACTTAGAATTCATTAGCTAGCTTATACTTGTTGATTTCTAAGTTATCTACTATATCCTCCATAAAACTATTCTAATCAACTTCCAAAGAGTTAATGGGAATTTTAAATTGATATGAATAATTATTTTAAAAATTGTTAATTTTATACAAATCAGCATGAACCTTCAAATACATAAAATTATAGCAAATGTTAAAACCCATCAAACTAAAATTCCTTCTGACTCAGGTTTCAGTCTTCAACTATGTAAGGTGGTATTTTTATAGAAGGCCGTGACAGTCATCCTATACAGCATCTAACTTTAAAAGTTAGGAACACATTTCTGATTACTCCGTATCTTCTGACTTGTTAGAGCTCTGTTTTCTACAAATTATATGAGCCTTCACTCATTATTTGCTGAGCTACTGGGGGCTGTGTTCAGTAAGACACTTATGTAATTATAGTTTTAAAGACTTTTTTTTTAAATTCTAGAATTTGCTGAGTAAGAATATTCTGTACAGAGTCTGTTTTGTTTCATTGTCTCTCTAGATTGTGGAAATAAACTCTTGTCTGTATTTCCCCCATAGTTAAATAACTCCTTCCAGATTATCATTTCAAAATGTGACTAGATTTCACAATGGGGAGGGTAGAATTTTTAGGAAACTATATCTAAAAATCACTAAAAAATGGTAATTCCTGACATTGGGAATTTACTTATTTGGCAGGGCCAAATAAAGTTGAGGAAAGAAAGAAGGGTTGCTTAAAAAAAAAATAATAGCCAGATTTTGAGTATCTATGATGTACCAGGTATTTTTCTAGGTATCTTAACTACATCATCTCATTTGCTTCAAAACTATAAAATTTATATTATTCCCACTTTTCAGAAAAGGATGTTAAGGCTGGAGAGATTAAATAACTTCCCAAAGATCACAGAGGTGCTAAGAGGTGGGACCAAGTTTTGCACCTAAATCTGTCTGACCACTATCTGCAGTGCCTCTCATGACAACACAGAGCCTGGTTTATTTATTTTTCATTTGTAAGTGGGAAACGGAGGTTCTGGTTTAGTAGAAACTTAGACTTGGATTTCATTCCAGCTCATTTTATTCCAGATCCAATTAAGTTTTTATTTATTTTATTTTTCCTAGAGCCTAGGTGGTAGTCTGAAGAAGAACGAAGTCTATGGACGAGCTTGAGTTGCATCCATAGAAAACAGATCATTTGTCTTCTTTCCTTTTTCATTTACCTGAACTCCTGCACCCCACATTCCTAGTGCATTTCCACCTCTCCCATTCTCACTTCAACTAAAGACTTGAGAAACTGAGACCAAAATGTAAAGTCTAAACTTATATTGCTGGGCGTCTGGGTGGCTCAGTCAGTTAAGCATCTGACTCTTGATTTCAGCTCAGGTCATGATCTCACAGTCATGAGATGGAACCACCCCCCTGCCCCACAGGGCTTGGTGCTGGGTGAGAAGTCTGCTTAAGATTCTCTTTCTCCCCCTGCGCCTCCCCCTGCCTGCCTTGGGAGTTTACAGTCTATAAGGAGAGAATGATAGGAAGTGACTAAGTAAAATTTTAAAAAGGATATCAGATAACAGTAAGTACTAGAAAAAAAGATAACACAGGAAAGGGAAAGGATGGTGGTGGTGGAGGCAGTGATCAGGGACGACTTCACCCTGGAGGTAACATTTGAGCAAGGACATAAAAAAGGTGAGTAAAGGAACAAGTCATGTGGCTACCTGAGAAAAGAGAGTTTGAGGATAAAGCAGCAGCAGTTCAAATACCCAGAGATGGTAAGCCAGTGGCATCAGAGCGGAATGTGCAAAAGAGAGAGTAGTAGAAACTGAAGTCAAATGAAATTTGGATCAAGGAAATAATACAGTTTGAGACCAATGTAAAAACTTAATTTTGTTCTGAAAACTATAAATTAATTTGTGGCTTTTTCCATCCAAAAACAGCTACATGAGCTATTACCTCATAAACTGTTAAAACACAATACTAAAATTAGTTTTCAAAGACAAGCTGAAATAGCATTTATACATATATGGTGGTTAATTTTATACATTATTTCTCTTTGAATTATTTAAAAGAAATTAAGCACTCTCTCAAATGCTTATTTCAAAGCTGATCTCTGATATTATCACATTTGTAAGGCTCATCTGACTATCATACTTACAAAGACTAGGAAGTCAACCTTCTGTAAGTAGCTAAAAGTCCTTAATACAAACATTCACTTTCAAAGCCAGGAAGTAAGTCAAATGGAGCATCTGAAAAGTTTCTCCTAGGTTAAAAATTAAAAATGGGAAAAAGAACCCTCCATTTTAAGTCATAAAATTTTTATGTTAAAGTGGAAGTAAATGAACAGAATTCTGTGTTAAAATAAAAAACATAGCAGTAGAGGTCATAACCAAAGTCCAAGACATTAAACTAACTAGAATGTACCATTTCTAGCACAGCTATGTCTTAAAGAAAAAAAGAAACTGTTTCTTAGACAATGTTTGTAAAGAAAATTCCATATATAAACCTAAACTCCATCAATTCACATTATTATAGTAGAAGCCTCAATTAAGAGGAAATATGATTTTTCTCTTGTACCTCCTCAGTTCTTATCTCTAGTAAATTTAAGCTGGTAGCTAGTGAGCTAGCATCCACAGAGTAACAGATATCTTCAAGGAAGTGCATCTACGATGAAGTTACTCATGAAGAAACTAATATAAGAATATCAGCTGGGGAGCACTGAGTAATATATATGTTGTACCCCTGAAACTAATACTTCAATAAAAAAATATCAGCTGGGTCAATATTTAGCTATATTTAATTCTGTATGATCATGCAATCTGTTATAAAACCCAGATTTTAAAATTTTCATAAATTTATGAAATGGCAAAATTCTATTTAGGCTTTTTTTTTTGAAAGAGAGAGAGAGAGAAACAGCACAAGTAGAGGGAGAGGGAGAGAGAGAATCTCAAGCAGGCCCAATGCCCAGCACGGAGCCTGACGCAGGGCTTAATCTCATGACCCTGAGATCATGACCTGAGCCTAAATCAAGAGTAAGACGCTTAACTGACTGAGCCAACCAGGCACCTCTCTATTTAGGCTACTAAATGAGATCTTCATTCACAAATTCTCTCAGTGCTCCTACTCCCAAATATTAAATGAATGATGCTATTTCTCCAATTACATTGTCTATCTACAATCTGGTAACACAAGCACAATTCAAACACGTGCATCCTTTTCCAATAAATATTATTTACAATAATTCGGCTACAACAAAAATACTTCTAAGCTCTGTTTGACTGCAGGCAGTCTGACCACAATAGGAGCTATTCCATAAGAAACAGTTCTACCATTACTTCATATTGCGAAGTCTCAAACAGTTTAGGAGAAATTAAAAGATAAAGTATAGGTTCCTAAAATGTATTTTACAGGCCCTCAAAAAGAGTTATTAGATAAAAGCTATTTAAAGACAGACACCTTGCTGGCATCACTTTCAAAATATATCACAATCATACCATTTCTCACTACCTCCACTACTGCACTTGGTCTGAGCCACATCACCTTCCCCTAGGATAACTGAAATTGTCTCCTAGTTACTCTGCGGTTAATCAGGCCTACTATGAATATTCTATATAATCCCTGAGCCTATATATCGTTCATCTCACCCTATTATCCTGACCTACTTTTTCATTTCTCTATAGCACTTAATCATCTTTTAACATGCTGTAACATTTACTTGTATTTACAGCCTATTTTTCCTTATTGGGAGTATCCACCCCCTAAGGGCAGTCATCTTTGTTTTGCTCTCCGACATACTCTAAGCACTAGAACAGTACTTGGCACATGATGTAAGATCAGCTGTAGAATGAACAAGTTTCAACTCTGAGACAAATATAAAGAAATAGTCAACCAGGTTTGATAAATATTAATTATGACAAAAATATGCATGATGTGCTCTTATTAACCAGGCTTTACCATACCAGATAAAATAAGCAGTTCAATGATTTCTGCATCTCCAAGATAGGCAGCAGCGTGCAGTGGAGTTCTCTTTTCATTGTCCTGTAAAAAGAGGAAAGGTGGAACATAACTTTTAATATAAAATTAATTTCAGTATACTTTAAATGAAGAAAAACCATTAACTACCAACTTACTAGTTCCATAAGCTTAGTCTAAGTTAGCAACCCATTAACAGAATATTTCCTTGCTAGGAGAAGAAAGGCCTAAAAAAATATTTTGGCCTTAAAGGAATGGCTTTATTAAGTACAGCAAAAATAAAATCTAAGGTGACAGAGAAATAACTTCTTAGGCTTTCTTTGAATAAAGATGCCTATGCTGCTGATATACATAGGAAAATTTCCTTTACTTCATGCTGTTTTTCCCAATATACTTCCACAGTTTTACACAGTTTGGAATTGTTGACCTAACTAAATAAAACAAACCTTAACAAAAGGTTTGCCTATCAAAATGTTTCCACAGGTACCCCCAAATTTTTCTCTGGGGATTTGAAGTTATCCCTTAAAACAATCTTAAGGATTTCTTAAAATTCCTGCCAATTTTGTTTGTGGCTTTAAAATATATTCCTATCTTTGTAAATATAAAAAATACACAGTTTTCCATTTTGCACAGTGAAGAAAACCATCAACAAAACAAAAAGGCAGGATGGGGAACAAGATGGCGGAGGAGTAGGAGACCTGGATTTCGTCTGGTCTCAGGAATTCAGCTGGATAGGAATCAAACCATTCTGAACACCTATAAACTCAACAGGAGATCAAAGAAAAGAATAGCAGCAACTCTCTGAACAGAAAAGCGACCACTTTCTGGAAGGTAGGATGTGCGCAGAAGTGAATCCGAGGTGATATTTGGGAGGATAGACGGTGGGGGAGGGGGCCTCCATCAGCCACCTAGGGGCAAGTAATAGAGCCCCGGAGCACAAAATCGGAACTTTTAGAAGTCGGCTCTGCTGAGGGACGTGGCTCCTGTGCTAAGCTGGGGGTGGAACCCTCGAGGGACAGTGTGTTCTCAGGACCTCGGGGTCACAGAAAGACCGGCGGTGCCTGAGAGCGGCAGAGCTCCCAGGTATCGAGAGCGGGGAAGCTGGCTGCAGAGACGGAGGCAGGGTGCGGGCCCTCAGCTCAGGGTTGCCATAACCCGTGATCCACGGTACATGTGGACTACTGCTCCTTCAGCAGGGTCCCAACAAGCGGCAGATCCGGGGAGACTCCCCTTCCTCCCCGGGGAGAAGCGGCACAGGAGCGCACCGCAGGGATGTGCTGGGTTTGGAAACTCCATACGGGGTTGGGTGCCAGAGATAGAAACGCTCGGTCACAGGCCGGGTGAGCACGGAGTGCGGCCGGAGATGGGGGAGACGGGAGTGACGGCTTTTTTCTGGGGGCTCACTGAGGAGCAGGGCCCGAGTTCTCGGCTCCTCCGGGGGCGGAGATTGGGAGGCCATTTTCACTCTCCGCCTCCAAAGCTGCACGGAAAGCTCACAGGGAACAAAAGATCCGGAGAGCAAACCCGAGCAGATTACTTAGCCAGGAGGGGGCAAGGGTGGGGCAATTCCGCCTCCGGCAAAGACATTTGGGAACCAAGGCAACAGGCCCCTCCCCCAGAAGATCAGCGAGAAGAGCCAGCCAAGACCAAGTTTACCCATCAAAGAGAACGGCAGAACTCCAGTGCTAGGGGAATACTGCACATAGAATTCATGGCCTTTTTACCATGATTCTTTAGTCTTTCAAACAACTTATCTTATCAATTCCTTTTATAATTTTTTAAATAATTTTCATCTTTACAGTCATATTCCATCCCTTCATCGTATCAACCCTTATTTTTGTACATATATAAGTTTTTCTTTCTTTAAAATTTTGGGAGGCACTTTCTTATAACAGACCAAAATACACCCCAAATCTAGTGTGTGGCACTGATCTATGCACCAGCCCAATCATATTTGATCATATTCTGTTTTTTTTTCTTTTGTTTTGTTCTCTTTTTGTTTTTATCTTTTCTTTTCTTTTTTCTTTTCCTTTTCTTTTCCCCTGGCTTCAGGTCTTTTCTGATTTGTTCAGAGTATATTTTCTGGGGACGTTGTTACCCTGTTAGCATTTTGTTCTCTCATTCATCTGTTTTCCTCTGGACAAAATGACAAGATGGAAAAAAATCACCTCAACAAAGAGAACAAGAGGTAGTACCGACTGCCAGGGACCTACTCAATACGGACATTAATATGATGTCGGATCTAGAGTTCAGAATCATGATTTTAAAGATACTAGCTGGGCTTGAAAAAAGCATGGAAGTTATTAGAGAAACCCTTTCTGGAGAAATGAAAGAACTAAAATCTAACCAAGTCGAAATCAAAAAGGCTATCAGTGAGGTGCTGGGCGCCTGGGTGGCTCAGTTGGTTAAGCGACTGCCTTCGGCTCGGGTCATGATCCTGAAGTCCCTGGATCGAGTCCTGCATCGGGCTCCCTGCTCGGCGGGGAGTCTGCTTCTCCCTCTGACCCTCCCCCCTCTCATGTGTTCTCTCTCATTCTCTCTCTCTCAAATAAATAAATAAAATCTTTAAAAAAAAAATGGGGATGCTATTTGCTAGGATAAATGAGGCAGAAGAGAGAATCAGTGATATAGAAGACCAAATGATGGAAAATAAAGAAGCTGAGAAAAAGAGAGATAAACAACTACTGGATCAGAAAGGGGGAATTTGAGACATAAGTGATACCAGAAAGCAGAACAATATTAGAATAATTGGGATTGCAGAAGAAGAGGAAAGAAAGAGAGGGACAGAAGGCATATTGGAGCAAATTGTAGCAGACAACTTCCCTAATTTGGGGAAGGAAACAGGCATCAAAATCCAGGAAGCACAGAGAACCCCTCTCAAAATCAATAAAAATCGGTCAACACCCCAACATCTAATAGTAAAACTTATGAGTCTCAGAGACAAAGAGGAAACCCTGAAAGCAGCTCGGGAGAAGAGATCTGTAACCTACAATGGTAAAAATATTAGATTGGCAGCAGACCTTTCCACAGAGACCTGGCAGGCCAGAAAGCACTGGCATGATATATTCAGAGCACTAAATGAGAAAAATATACAGCCAAGAATACTATATCCAGCTAGGCTGTCACTGAAAATTGAAGGAGAGATAAAAAGCTTCCAGGACAAACAAAAACTAAAGGAATTTGCAAACACAAAACCAGCCCTACACGAAATATTGAAAGGGGTCCTCTAAGCAAAGAGAGAGCCTAAAAGTAACACAGGCCAGAAAGGAACACAGACAATATACAGTAACAGTCACCTTACAGGCAATACAATGGCACTAAATTCCTATCTTTCAATAGTTACCCTGAATGTGAATGGGCTAACTGCCCCAATCAAAAGACACAGGCTATCAGACTGGATTAAAAAACAAGACCCATCAATATGCTGTCTGCAAGAGACTCATTTTAGACCCAAAGACACCCCCAGATTGAAAGTGAGGGGGTGGAAAACCATTTACCATGCTAATGGACACCAAAAGAAAGGTGGGGTGGCAATCCTTATATCAGACAAATTAGATTTTAAACCAAAGACTGTAATAAGAGATGAGGAAGGACATTATATCCTACTTAAAGGGTCTATCCAACAAGAAGATCCAACAATTGTAAATATCTATGCCCCTAACATGGGAGCAGCCAATTATATAAGGCAATTAATAACAAAAGCAAAGAAACACATCGACAACAATACAATAATAGTGGGGGACTTTAACACCCCCCTCACTGAAATGGACAGATCGTCTAAGCAAAAGATCAACAAGGAAATAAAGACTTTAAATGACACACTGGACCAAATGGACTTCACAGACATATTCAGAACATTCCATCCCAAAGCAACGGAATACATATTCTTCTCTAGTCCCCATGGAACATTCTCCAGAATCGATCACATCCTAGGTCATAAATCAGGTCTCAACTGGTACCAAAAGATTGGGATCATTCCCTTCATATTTTCACACCACAATGCGTTGAAACTAGAACTCAATCACAAGAGAAAAGTTGGAAAGAACTCAAATACATGGAGGCTAAAGAGCATCCTACTGAAGAATGAATGGGTCAACCAGGAAATTAAAGAAGAATTAAAAAAAACTCATGGAAACCAATGAAAATGAAAACACAACTGTTCAAAATCTTTGGGATGCAGCAAAGGCAGTCCTGAGAGGAATGGATATAGCAATACAAGCCTTTCTCAAGAAACAAGAAAGGTCTCAAGTACACAACCTAACCCTACACCTAAAGGAGCTGGAGAAAGAACAGCAAATAAAGCCTAAACCCAGCAGGAGAAGAGAAATAATAAAGATCAGAACAGAAATCAATGAAATAGAAACTAAAAGAACAGTAGAACAGATCAACGAAACTAGGAGCTGGTTCTTTGAAAGAATTAACAAGATTGATAAACCCCTGGCCAGACTTATCAAAAAGAAAAGAGAAATGGCTCAAATCAACAAAATCATGAATGAAAGAGGAGAGATCACAACCAACACCAAAGAAATACAAACAATTATAAGAACATATTATGAGCAACTCTATGCCAGCATATTAGATAACTGAAAGAAATGGATGCATTCCTAGAGATGTATCAACTACCAAAACTGAACCAGGAAGAAATAGAAAACCTGAACAGACCTATAACCACTAAGGAAATTGAAGCAGTCATCAAAAATCTCCCAACATACAAAAGCCCAGGGCCAGATGGCTTCCCAGGGGAATTCTACCAAACATTTAAAGAAGAATTAATACCTAGTCTTCTGAAACTGTTCCAAAAAACAGAAATGGAAGGAAAACTTCCAAACTCATTTTATGAGGCCACCATTACCTTGATCCCCAAACCAGACAAAGACCCTATCAAAAAGGAGAATTATAGACCAATATCCCTGATGAACATGGATGCAAAAATTCTCACCAAAATACTAGCCAATAGGATCCAACAGTACATTAAAAGGATTATTCACGACCAAGTGGGATTTATCCCTGGGCTGCAAGGTTGGTTCAACATCCACAAATCAATCAACGTGATATAATACATTAAC